GATATGAACTACAATAGAGGCGTCTTAAGTGTCGACGAAGGAGCTGAGAGTCCAGTGTGGCTCGCGCTATTGCCCGATGGAGCTCCTTCCGGGTTCTTCTTTTCTAGGAAGGACATATCGTCTTTTTGATTGTCTCTTCATCTTCATGCTCTTTCAATCTCCATAGGTAGTTTTGGATCAATGTAATAAATTATGTTCTGTTCCTTGGTGGCCTTTTTGTATTGTATAATAAATTAATGTGTAGCAGCCAAAAAGCTATTGTATGGTTTCTCCTGCTGGACTGTGCCTACAGAAAGTTATCTTGACATTTGGGTTTCTAACCTATAATTTTGTAGCAATTGATTCACTATTGATGATTTCGCCCATCTTAATAATTAAAATGTCATGTGTGGATCACTTAATGGGATATTTTGACTCTAAAGATGATTATATTCTCATTTTCAATCAAAAAAAAAAAAGAAAAAAAAATATTAATTAAGAATCTTAAAAAATAATAATTTCCTCCCTCCATTGTGGTGTGAGAATGAGGCTTAGGAAATGCGATGGTGGAGTTGGGTGCGATTTGTGTGTAGAAGGCTAGAGAATAGAGCTAAGTCCCAAATTGTATTCACGTGAATGCATAAGATGACTATGGATTGTTTGAACACCCAATTAATTACAGTAATCGGTTGATTGGCTCTCGAATGTGGTAGTCCCCATGTATCAATGTGAGACAACGATTGTTATTGATTTGATGCAGTTAAAAGATTAGATCTTGATAAAGCGTATATCTTTCCTCATTTAAGAAAGGGATGAAGAGATTATCGCATGTGGAGTGATCGATATCATTTGGTAATTCGAATGATAATTGTTAAGGAATGTAACAAAATTCTATATCGATTAAATACAGATAAAAAGTTGGTTTATTAGGGATTTTGCTACTAAAATAAATTAATTTTTCGGAATGAAACCTTAATTTTCAATACTATTAAAAATGGGTAAAATTTCTTTAGTATTTTAAAATGATTTTCGTACATGGATACACCTTTGAATAATTCTGCTTGTACAGAACTATTCATTTACAGAAAATTACAAAAAAATTTATTTCCTAAAATACCCTTTACATATAATTTGCAACAAGGAGCCACTATAAGAATATAAAAACTCCATATTAGGCCTCAAAAGATTATGAGTGTAAAATTTATTCCGCTGACTCTGCGCACTCTGGTATAACTGGTATCAGAGCCATATGTAAAGAATCCTTATCCTCTCACTCGGGACTTATACCCGAACCGAGGCTCTCCGCGCCAATCGCCTGTATCCTCGGACAAAATCCGTTAGGAGCAGGTGGCAAGCTGATAGGTACCTTTTACCGAGTTGTTCGAAAGAGTTGGGTAAAACTGGTATCAGAGCCTCGTTA